CGGGAGGGGGGGACGAGTCCGTGAAGAAACACGGAACGAGAAAACGAGCGAGTTGCACACTCGGATCAAAGGGAATCGAGCCAGAGCACGGACGGGGTGGGATGGGGTCGCGTGATGAACGACATCCATAACTTTTTTCCCCTCGCGCGTCCCGTCTCGCCGCGCGCGAGATCGCGCGGACACAGCGCCCGCATGATTACGGTCCGGCCGCTCGGTAACACCCAGAGATTCGTCGTGGACCGAAGTGTAATTCGTTGAAAGAGCCTATTGTGAATAAATTGAGCCGGGGCAAGGATTGGGCAGCGGCCGAGGAGAGTTCGACGCGGCGGTGTCCTCCTCGCTCGGTGTCGCGCGGCCGGTCGTGTTTTGTGCGCATGAAATTCCCACCGCGGCCGACCGTCCCCCCGCGCCGGACACCCGACGGACCGTCAATTTATTAATCCAACGGCCGCGTCGGACGACCGACGAACGGCAGCAATAAAAGGCCCGCAGAGGTGTGACCGATTCTCGAGGACCATTGTCCCCGTCCGGCGTACGGTCTGTTCGAAATTCCCGCGGAATCCGCAGCTGCGACCGTTGGTCACGTCCCGCCGCCATTTTCGCCGGTCGAACGATAATTGCTAATTAGAATCGACCCACGATCGCCGCGTATCCAAGGGAACGCTCGTTTCCGGCGACGGTTTTATCGTTCGCACGGACGCGCCGCTGCTCGTTTCCGATCGCCGGGCATTATTTGCCGGCGGCGCGCCGCGATTATAAACGTTCGCGTCGCCGTCGTTATTGTGCCGGCGAGCGGACAGATGCGGCTGCGGAATTAATCGAGGGCACGCGTTGCGCGCCGTTATTAATTGACGGGATCATTTGTGCTGATCGCGTCGATATCGGTTTGCAATTGAATTACCGGCGTCGCTCGGTCGTTTGTCAGGGAATCGGTAAACGCTAATCCCCGGCACGCGCGGGAAATTCGAATCGTCCCGGCTCGCACGTTTGGTTCTCGGCCAATACGCCGTCGCCGTGACGAGTTCCGTTGTTGGCGTTCGGCTTCGGGCGATCGGGGATCTATGGTTATTTCTGGCGCGAACGAATATTGTGGAAATAGACGACGGAGCTTCGTTTCATTCCGGTTATTGCCGAACTGTTGACTTCTCGGATGTTAGACTTTGGATTTCGTCGATTAGGCTGCATTGTGTTAATTATAATATTGCAAGTGGAGCGTGCGCTCTGAAAACATTTATCGGGACAATCTCGGTGAATCACTGGAAAGATTATTCGATGCATAGAAAAATGGAATATCGTGGAAGCGATGACAATGCGCTGTCCTACTCTCCGCTCGGTGATTTCCAGCACGGTCAACCCTTCGACCGGAAGTCGCGCGCAGCGGAAGCCGGCTAGGTTTAGGCGAGCGCGCCAGAGACGATTTCATGGGACCTATCGCGGCGATCTACATGGGTTTTGGCCTTCGACCGGTGCTCCTTTGAATGCGTAAACACGCCGGTCCGTGTACGAGATTCTTCGAAACGGTGTTTAAAACGCTCCGACGTGCTGCGAAGCACTTGGACGTCGTTAGGAAAGTGTTTCGGAGCTAATCGGAACCTTCGTTATCTTAATTTATTTACTATCGCCTCTCTATTACGGTATAACGGCACAGTCAATTAACGTGCGCTTTCCCTTAATCGCATAAAGCTCGCTTTCAAAATCGCCCGTCAATTATTCCACTTCACCCTCGTTAACGATTCCCCGTTCAATAACAACGAGTTCAATATCCGGACCGTATTTACCCGCACGATAAAAGAAAAACTCGGATAAGATAAAACCGAGGAAACGGCTCCTCGCAGCGAGACTCGCACACTCGAAATCGCCAACCGCCGGGCAAATCCAATTAATCACGTCGTCCTGGCGTAACCGTCGACCGGTAATCGCATCGGCATTCCATTCAAAGATGGACCCGTGTGCCACCGTGTCGTGCCCACGATTAAAGGAAGCTCGGCTGCGGAGCATTTAACGCAAACAGCCGCGCGCCAACACGGCCCGTAAATGGAATTAACGACGCTGGAATGATAAGTGACGTTGGTTGCTGGATCTGATTCGATTAGGAAGTATATTTCGCCCGTGTGAGACCGGTCGCGGGCCAACAGTGTCAATGAACCGCGAGACGGCGGCACCGTCGGCAGCGAAAAAGTCCCCCAGCTAATCATTTCCATATTCCGCGGATGATTAAGGACACCCGGTATACATTGCAATGCGTGTCACGCCTACGCGCGTCGCGACGGGCGTTTGTCAGACCGACAGAAATTGCTTTCAATAATGCGAAACACGGCCGTCATCTTGCGGCTAGTACGTACTTGACAAAGAACCAGTGAAATACGGAGCAGTAACAATGTCACCGAAACATTGCCCGGCGAGACCGGTTCGCACGAGCGCCGAGCGTGAAATTTTGGAAATGTAGCTTTACTCTACCACCCGTTATATAAAGCAGAAACGTACGGACGAGTCGCTTGTGGGAAGTTAAAGTAGAAGCTTCGTACTTTGTAACGAGAGGTAGAATATTATATGACTCTTCAAAGTACCGAAGATCGGCAATGTTTCGATTATAACGTAGCAATCCTTTAATTTTGTATAAGCGACGTATATTCATTACGTTTGAAATTGAGGTTTCGTTATTGTATTCAACTTATGTACCAGAAAGGTACAAAAATGGCCTTTGAGTAAATGTAGCTGAATTCTCGAAGACTAACTGTTAACTGGAATGTCACTTTCTTCAATGATTAGCCGCTATATAAAGTCTTATTTCAGTGTCTCAGGCTCTCGTTCGCTGCTGCCCCGCTCATGAATAAACGTTTATTGGCAAACTTGTCGCGGCAATGTTTCGAAACGTTCCCGGGGGCCAACGACACCTATAAAATTCCCGGCGAACACGCCGGGACGTTATTTCGTAAAACGTGAACGGCACGGTGAACTGGTTATCCTTGCGTTTCCACGCGGCTCTAAGATCGGCATAAAGATAGGCAATAAGCGGGGCCCAGTTCGCAGTCGAGGAGCGTAGCATCGATATTTAACCCCGGACGGCTGACCCCAGAAATCGAGACCGGCGTCAATTCCGCGTCGCGTTACGTACAATTAACATACGAACTCCTCCCTCGGCTCCATCGTTCTCGAAATACGATTCCGTGCTAAATTTAGACCGCGCAGCTTATCGTCGAATTCAACGGGCGATAGCTGTTCATTGCTATCTAACTTCTCGGAAGTAAGCCAATCTACTAACGCGCGATTTTAATCCTCACTCATTGTTTGCGCCAGTTTAACGGATTTACCGCCGCCCCGGTAATACGGATCCTTCATTTTCGAAGTGCCGTGAGTTCCATTGCGAACAGATATTATTTAACCTTGGTACCTTCGAATAGAGAACTGTGGATAATTATTCAACGAGGAAGAGTATAGTATTTTCAAAGTGAACGATCGAAACAGTTGCTAATTGATAATTTCCCTTTAAACATCAGTTTCGAAAGAGATCATCGCGTTGTCTTCGGAAGATTCGTTGATTCACTTCAAATTTGAATCAAACATTGCCCATGAAATCTGCAATGAATCATTAGTTCCTGTAAGGCTATCAGTCATTCCGCAGATAAAGCGTTTAGTCGGGCAAACGGAAAGTAAGTTTTAATAATTCAATGTAAACATCGCTTTGTTCTAGTGACCAACAAGAGAGTACGTACGCTGTACCGTTAATAACGGGCGCGACTAGCATGATTTTAAGTTTCTCGCGGAAGTTCCAGCGCGAAGAGCGGAGCCCCAGCCGGTCGCTGGCGCGTCGAGACGAGACGGGACGAGACGCGTTGCGACGCGTCGTAACACGGTCTCAACCCGAAGCGTATGGTGCATCGGTTGAACTGCATCCAGTCGAGCGCAGCTGACAACGAGAACAGCAAGTGGAACTCCGGATATGTATAATGCTCCGAAACGTGCTCATAGAAGTCCGGGTGTACAGTGTACAGGCGAAGTCTACCGTGCGCACCCTACTGTGTGATTCCCGACATGTTCACGGACCAATGATTTATATGCTAATTCCGACTGGAATACGATCTCCCGAGTCCCGCGGTCCGGAAACTTTCACCGTTCGAGAGCCGTGGACTCGCGTGCGTTCACCTTGAACGCCGGCCATTAGCAATTTCGGGTAATTCGGAGATTCCGCGGGGATAGCCACATCCGTTCACTCCGGGAGACCATATTTTTGAGCATTCCTTCCGATTAACCCTTACTACGGAGACCAGAATATTCGTGGATCTTCAAACTTTAATAGCGAAACGCTTCCAAGCTTGACATTTCGAAATTTATAGGGAAATATTCGAAGGAAGTGAGTCTGAAGCGTCTCTCGAGAATATTAAAACTATAAACCACGTACGGTTCTAGGATCGAAGAATCTTCAACGTATTATTGTCCTAATTATTACTTCTTCTCACGATTTATGTTATATACATATTTAACGTCACAATTACGCTACCAATGCAATTTCAATGCTCCAAAGCATAACGAATAACGTTCCAAGCACAAAGATTAACTCCCAATCCTCCTTTAAGTGCCTCCCATTAACTAAATACTCGGATGTTATACCCAAATGAAAGAAGCCCCATCGCATCGAAGCGACGCGGCTCCTCTAATCGGCAAGAAAGATCTTTGTTCCCGAGTTTCGGTTAGCTGGAGATCGCACGCTCGCGCGACACCGAGGATCTTCCATTTTTAGATCGCGGTGTCGGTAGCACCGTAGACACCGAAACTCATAATCCCAAACGGTCGAAGCTGGAAACCCAGGAGAGTTAGTCATCATCCGGCGCATTTGCGTCGCAGGTTTCCAGCATCGTTATCATGGCGGCCGCGGGATCGGCGCCGTGGATCGGCCGCGGCGAGTAAGGGACTCGAGCGATCGATCAGCCGCGAACGCGGGGCGTCGTCGCGGCGGCGGCGGCGATCGCCGGGTTAGTGACGAGTGATAGCGTTTCATTCACCTGATCATCGGAGAAGACACACTTGACGTTAATCCAACGGTGCGACTTGACGGTGCAGTTGCACCCGTCCATCGCGCATATCCCGGGCGGTGCACTCTCGACGTTACCAGGCAGAACAACAATACACCACATGAACACCGACCATACGACGACACGATCACACTTGAGCCCGTCCAGGCCGGCGAACACCCTCCTCCTGCCGCTCATTGTCGATCCCATCGAGGATCCAGCAGCAGGATCTCCGCGTACAAAGGGCCGCGTTGTTCGCGGGCCGCGATCGATCGCCTTCGATTTCCTCCGGCGGTTGATCCGGCCTCGCATCGTTTACAGCGCACCGTTATCTTCCATCCGCGTCGATCCCGATCCACATACAATCCTCTTCCGACGGAAACTTTCGAACTTTCACATCTGGACGGGGAACAATCGATCTTCCTTCGGACCTGTCTCGCCAGTAACCTTCATCCGTGACGATCGAGACAAAGGGGGACAGCTGCCGTACAGTTTCTCGTCGGTGTTAAGCGTTATCGATCGACCGGCTCGCGATCTCAAACCGGATTCCCCGGGTCGTCGCGCGAATCCTGCGTGGCTGGCAGAAGCGGACGGTAAACTGCTCTCGCGCGAGTACCCGCCGCGAGCAAGTCGAAACACGCGCGCGGACGGCTGTGCTTCCGTGAGAGGTGGGGCTAACTAGAGGCCAGCTGACGCGATCATGACGGAGGTTGCTTTCAAACTGTGGTCGGTGGCATGCACGATCGGTGTCTCCTCCCCACCAAAGAACCGTGTTCCTTGGCTCACTACACTGCCGCGTGCTCTCCCTCTTCGGCTCTTTTAAAAGATAAAAGAGAGCCCCTGGCGTGCGTCGCTGCACGGCCGGAGGGGCGAGCTAGCGAGCGAGCGAGCGAGCCAGCTAGCTAGCGGCAGCGTTGCTCCTCGACGCGCACCGGTCCGGACCCAGGGTTCACCGGTGGGAAGGGTCCAGGCCCCGGCACCGGTTTTTCGAGCGAGCCGCGAGTGCCAGGGTCGGCGCACTTCGTGCCCTCCGAACACTGTGACCTTGACCAAGTTACCGCCGGAACGGCTCCACCATCGCGAAACGAGGATCGTCGTGACCGAGGTTTTACGTAACGCGTGCCCGTGTGCGGTTTGCTGCGAGCTGATCACGCTCGCCTGGGGCGCGCCGCCGACACCGATTCCCGTCGGTTTGTGATGTTTTTTTTCGGTTACCTTGTTTCCGCTTTGTCCGCTGACGCCTCTTGCGGTTGGGCTCACATGATGTTTTGATCGGGATCGCCGTGATAGAGGAGTCGGAGGAGAAACAGAAGGCGGATGTTGTGCTTTGACTTTGATTTGTTGTCTCCGAACCTGTGACAGTGAGAATCGGCCACTTAATAGCTGTTAACTAATATGATTTCAATACTGTATCCCAAGGTTGCTTTCCTGACGGGATCTAGATATCTTTTCGATCGAAGAGGAGACAGTAATATTCAAATGCATTTCTAGACGAACTCCACCAAAGTGAAATATCTATTGCGCCACTCGAAGACCATCAAATTTTAGAGGATATTCATTTCGCAATTAAAATGATTAATTCCAGCTGAAGTATCGGAGCGGCATAGGATACACACTCCGCGCGAGTTGTCAAGCCGTGGACGTTCGTAATAATGTCCGGGGAAAAATTCCGCTAGAAAGGGACGGCAACATGGCCGCCGGGAGGGAAAATAGCCTCCTTTACAGCCGGTTCGCAGAAAACTCGAAAGCCAACGGGGGCCAGCGGCACAGGCCACGGTAAAAACGGGACGAGCCGTCCGCGAAAGCGCCTCTTCATAGCCACGTCGCTTTTCATGGTAGACAGGGACGCGGCTCTTTCGCTTTATGAGCAGAAGCCCCGGCCATTTAATTTCCCATGAGAAATTGCGCGTGTCCGTGGAACTCCTGGCCCGCTGGCAGCGCGCTCGTCCTCGTCCTGCCCCGGCGTCGCGCACGCGAAGCCGCCATTCATTCATAACGCTCTCTCCTCAAACCCGGAAACACCTGACGCCAGCTGAAGTGGCCATTTCCGAAATGACCACGTGTTGACCATACGTCACATCGAGTCCGGCCTTAATGCGGCCATCCCAATTTTCGGGCGTCACGCCGATCCTCGGCAGATCTGCTTCCGCGCGCCGGCATTCGATCGCGTCTCACATTTCTTCCATCGATCTTCTTCCGGCTCTTATTACCGGGGCGACCGGTAAAACGACACCTCCGTCTAAGGCTAGCCTCTGGCCCCAGAGAACACGTATCGACGCGCGCGACGGATGAAACGATCGACTTTCTAACAATAAGTTACGCTGCCCGCGGAAGCTCTATAAAACGTTTTACTCCGCTGCGTCATGGACGTGTGTCTTTATTGACGAACGACACCGACATACTTCGATTGACCCGACGCTTTAAGACCGCCTTCTCGCAAGTCAGCAGTTGGGGGTTTTAAAATAACAATTCTATAAGGTGTCCGTCCGCAGCAGGTTTGACGACCTTTCAAACTTTGCAGATAATTGACAGTTATCGGTTCTAGTGGATTGAATTTCTTCCGCGTGACGTGCGGATCGAATGTGGCAGCGACTTTCGTTCGATACCGGTTTGGCGGCGGCCGCGTTTAAAGGGTTCGAAGAAGTCGTTCGAGCGGCTCGTCACCGGCGAAATCGTTCGAGGCGTGACGGCGTGGTATAGGTAGCGAACCCGTCGCTCCGGCGAGCCGCGGCGAACGGAATTGCGATGTGATTGCGCCTTATTAGGGATGACTCCGGCGATGACTCGCTAGGGGAAGCAACGATTGTCTGGCTGGCAGAGGAGCATCGTCCTCTGCTCGTGATCTATCCCCAGACGGGATCCGTGGAACGGATCGCCAATTAAGGGCATTGTAACTCGGAAACTCGTTCTAACGAGTCCGACAACCCGCGGCGAGCCCCGTTCCGTGCCGTTTTTTTACCTTCGTTGACATTCACGATCCATTCAGTTTTCTTCGGCGTCGATGAACTTGTTGATTAGTTAATGCTAAGCGTATGTTGGAAACTAGCTACGTTGATAGCGGTATTCACAGTGTAATGGTAGGATTTCTTTTGCTGTTTCTCAGTTGCCACTCGAACGAACGATTGTTTCTACGGGACTTCGTCTCGTGCACGGCTGGCACCAGCGGAGGACGACTCGCAAGATGGCTGCAACCGGACAGTTTCGTGGATCCCTCGAAGTGCGAGGTGCTTTACTCGAAAGATGAGATGAAATGCGGGTGGCCGGCTATTGTTACCATTTTCACCAAGGACCAGTATGGAGACGTCGTTCATGTGCCCAATTTAAAGGTATTAGTATGAAGATTAATTTCTGTAAATTAAAAAAGATAGAAAATTATTGTTCAGTGGTATTTGTTGAAAGTCAGGAACTAAGGGAATAAAGTTCACTAGAGCCATAAAAATGTTTCGCAGGTGGAGGTGAAGGCAGTACCTATCGACAAAAAAGTGTTAACGAACGCAGAGCAAGGGAGAAAAATACGACGGATCTCCCAGCCGGATCCGATGACGTTCGGCGGTCATCCACAACCTTCGCTGGACGTGCCGTACGAGGTCACGGTTAACAACAAGACATGCTTCTACGCGATTACCATTATGAAGGCTTATCAGAACTATTCGTTCGAGGAGTTACGGTACATGTCGCCGGCCATAAAAAGGGCAAGCGAGAGCATGCTGGTCAGACCTAATGGTGATGGAAGCTACAGCGCTACCTGGTCACCCTCATCCGTCGGATGGTACTCTCTTATGATCACGGTGGACGGTTACAACATGGAGGATGTGAGTGCTCGACCCCTGTCGTATTCCAGGAAAACGGCCGTAATTTTCATACCCTTTTTTAAAGCATAAACAACGTTACAAAAGAATATTTGAATACTTTAATGAACGTTGTTCTGTCTGCAAAGCTACACTTCCCAGAAACGTGTAACAGATGAACTGGAGATTTGTAACAGATGTTTTTCAGGGATAAGATTAAACGAAAATTACATTTCTTGAGATAACATTGTTCGTCATGTTTCCCAGACGTTCAGAGTGGAGGTGAAAGAACCGCCGCAGAGAATGCAACCGCCCACTCACAACGTCGTGAAAAAGTCGCAACACCAACCGAGCAGACTTCGGAAGTTCGTGGCAAAGAATAGCGCTGGTTTGAGGATCAGGGCCCACCCATCGCTTCAGAGCGAGCAGATCGGATTTATTTCAGTGAACGACACTATAGGATTCATAGACGAGGTAATGTCCAGCGACTGTCGCCATCGAATCATTCGAAGACGGAGTTTCTGAACCGTTCCGTTTTTCCAGATACATAACGACGACGGCGTCTGGCTGAGACTGAACGCTGACACCATAAAGCAGTTCTGCAGCAGCAGCCACCTAGAGGCTTGGTGTCTACAGTACAATCAGCATTTAGGGAAGACCTTGCTTCTCCCGGTCGAGGAGCCAAAATCGATTTTGGACCAAGCGATCAAGGACACTACTTTGCGCAAGAGGCCCGAAGTGGTCGACGAGTACGTAGGAAAATCCCAGTTAAGGTATGCCGCTCGAAGATCGTTCCGAAATAGAATTTCACGTTTTAGCAAAAGGAAAACTGTAACGTTCGACTCCGCTAGGACGATGGTCGTGGTGAGATGCGGCGCTTCCGGCCACAATGTTCGAAGCAAACCGAATTTAAAGGCGGCATCGGTGGGGATACTGGCTCCCGGAAACACGGTGACCATTCAGGAATATGTGAGCGTCGATATTGCTTTAGAAACGAAGGAAAGAAAAGTGAATCTCTGTCGTATTAACGTTGCCCGTTGACCGTTCCCAGTTCGTGAACGGCGATGGTACTTGGGTGCGAATCGACGAGGAATCGATGGCGAAGTACCGTTTCGACAAGGGCCGATCGGCGGACGGCGAGGCGTGGTCGCTCGCGATCTGCAAACAGGGCGTGACTTACATGAAAATCGAGAACGATCTCGAGAACGATGCGGCGGAAAAGAAACCGATCATAGCCGATCCGTCCGTTTCACCTAGTCATAAAGGTTTCGATTTCTCCGTGCCTTCCGTGAGTCACGAGGGCTTCAATTTCACCGCGCAGAATTACACGCCGAGCACCGCGGAGTCCGCCGAAGGTAGCAACACGAATCTCTTTATTTTTGGTTCATACAATCAACACGATTCACGAGGTACAATTCGATGGGATCGAGTTCTACTTGCACGCGTCGCGTGGCCCTAACGTGGCTAACGATGCCTCTTTGTATCGCGTTTTCAGGAAGCGACAAGCCGGCTTTGGAGAAGACAGACGTCTC